TTGTCCCACATGCCGAAGGCCAGAAACCGTTCCGCGGCCGTGATTCGGGTTTCTCCCACATGACATTAGCCGTTGCGTACCATCAGTTTCGGATACCCCGGCTTATATCTGACCTATAAATACATGGTATCGTAGATTACCAGGGCATCACTCGAGGGCTGGGGTGCACGGCCACACTAAAGATTGTGTACGCCATGTGCGCAGTTTAGCCGTAATAGAGTGAGCGGGAAACTATGGGTGCTAAAAATTAGCCGGATCATTCTCCGCATTCACCCTGGACGTCATACGATAACTGTCATGCCCGAATACCTATTTTTGGAACGAGATTTTTAGAATGAGATGTTGCTCGAGCGCCAGGTATTTCACCTACTAAATGTCCACTTGTAATTCATTGACACCGCTGTTGCACCGCCGCACTACAACCGCCACCAAACATAAGGGTTGAGGTCCATTTGATGTCCGGCAATTCTCCAGAATAAATTGGCAGGATAAACGACCTAAAATCAGGACCCCGAGAGTTTACCCCGGTCACTGATTGCGGCTCACAAGAGGGAGTCACACAAACGTTTGCCGAAAGTTCCTCCATCAAGTACCGTGGAGTACAGAAAATTTTGGCATACGGTGACACGCGACACGGAAGAGAATATCTGGAAGCATGGTACTCTACGACAGGTTCAACAAACCGGTGCATCGAACTGGATCCAATTTACGCACCTCTACGCGCGAGAGATCAACATCGCAACCGGAACACTCAAGGAGGACCGAATAATGGATTCACAAACGAAGAAACAAGGAACTCCTCGGAGTCAAATCAATTAAGGTCACAACCGGAACTCGGAAGGACAAAGGTCACTGCAACATCGACTAGACCACGACGGCGAGGGATGCCAAGTTCAAAAGTCACGGCGAATGAGGACACGGGATAAAAAGAACAACCAATGGAACCGCCCGACAGAATAACTAATCCCCGGCTACCAGCACGTATATCAACACACACGTAACACTACTGAACGCACAACCACTAACCCACCGCTACGCACAACTACGCACTGATGAGGTCACCTTGATTGGTGATGAAACGTTTGCAACCAAATTGCCCAGCTCAGCGAACAAGCCAACGACCATCTACGCTACCTGAGCTACCGACATTCTCCTCTATAGAAAATTCAAAAATCTGTTGAACGTCTTTATAACACTTTACTTGAGTCCATCACAGGTTGTTTCTTTGCTGGGCTGTCCATAAAAACGAAGGTGTCAGTAAGTCACAGTAGTCCGCTGCTACTCAGTGTTGTTGTGTTGGTGGTTTGGTAACTCAAGGTAGGTGCGTTACTTTTCGCACGCTACGCATGGTAGTGTAGTTAGCGGTAAACAGGCTTCGCCATCGCAGATTTGCCCCACGTAAACTTTTCGAGGAAGTCACAAACTCGGTTGGTCCCTCCGAAAGTGTTTCGCGCACCTGCTAACACTTTATTATATTGCATGACGCAGTCGGCAACTGACTTGGCGTCTGACTAATTTGCTGTCGCATTTGTCCCCCGTGATGTTTGCAGACTTCCCAAAATACCTCTCCGATACTGGAGTCGCCGGTAACAGCAGTTTTCATAAGGTGTGTAGTGGTCTGGCTACCCAATAAGTCAGTTTACCAGGAGTGCGTGGCAAAGTAATAAAAATAATTACGCTAAGTTGGGTATACAAAAATAAATAGGTCAGATGGAACAGAC